TTTTCCCCCATTTTCCCAATTTTTCCCCCATTTTTCACTCTGATTTTTCCCATTTCCTCCATTTTACACCCAATTTTTCCCGGTTTTCCCCCATTTTTCACTCTGATTTTCCCATTTTTCCCCCCATTTTTCCCTCTGATTTTCCCAATTTTCCCATTTTTCCCCCATTTTTCCCTCTGATTTTCCCAGTTTTCCCCCATTTTTCCCTCTGATTTCCCCATTTTTCCCCCCATTTTTTCCCATTTTTCCCTCTGATTTTCCCATTTTCCCCCCATTTTTCCCGTTTTTCCCATTATTTTTCCCGTTTTTCCCCAGGGTTTTGCCTTTATCAGTTTCCACCGGCGCGAGGACGCGGCGCGAGCGATCGCGGGGGTGTCGGGCTTCGGCTACGACCACCTCATCCTCAACGTGGAGTGGGCCAAGTGCGCACCTGGGCACACCTGGGGCACACCTGGGGGGGTTACACACACCTGGGCACACCTGGGGGGGTTACACACACCTGGGCACACACCTAGGCACTCAGTGCTGTCACACCCACCTCATCCTCAACGTGGAGTGGGCCAAGTGCGCACCTGGGCACACCTGGGCACTCACCTGGGCACACCTGGGGGGGTTACACACACCTGGGGCACACCTGGGAACTCACCTGGGCACTCAGTGCTGTCACACCCACCTCATCCTCAACGTGGAGTGGGCCAAGTGCGCACCTGGGCACACCTGGGCACTCACCTGGGCACTCACCTGGGCACACCTGGGAACTCACCTGGGGGGTTACACACACCTGGGAATTCACCTGGGCACACCTGGGGGGGGTTAAACACACCTGGGCACACCTGGGAATTCACCTGGGCACACCTGGGGGGGTTACACACACCTGGGCACACCTGGGGGGGTTACACACACCTGGGCACACCTGGGGGTCCCTCTCACCTGTCCTGACTCTCCTTTTCTTCCTCCCCCAGGCCCTCAACCAACTGAGCCGCTCCCAGTTCGGCCCCGGTTCGGCCCCAGTTCGGCCCCGGTTCGGTCCCAGTTTGGTTCCAGTTTGGTCCCAGTTCGGTCCCAGTTTGGTTCTGGTCCAATAAAGCCCCGGGTTCTGGGATTTGGGCACAGCCCGAGGCTTCCAGCTGGGAAAAAACGGGAATTTCGGGAGGAAAAATGGGAATTTTGGATGGGAAAACGGGAAATTTGGGAGGAAAAATTGAAATATTGGGTGGGAAAACGGGAAATTTGGGAGGAAAAATGGGAATTTCGGGTGGAAAAACGGGAAATTTGGATGGGAAAACGAATTTTGGGAGGGGGAAGTGGGACTTTGGCAGAAAAAACGGGAATTCTGGAGTTAAATGGG